TCAGTACTTTGTAGGTTTATATGTACGTAATCTGCGCGATTTGCGCGTCCACATCTCCACGTGCAGTGCTGCATAAACATGGCTGAGTCAACGATAACTTTCGAGCGGTGGAGGTTTGCCCATTATTTTGAGTTCGTCCGAAGAATAGACAGGAATGTGACGGTGAGGTGCAAACTGTGTCCAGGCCAGAAGCTGTTATCCACTGCTGGAAACACCACGTCAAACCTCAACAAACACCTGCAAAGAACACATGCTAAGGTGAAGCTACCGTACACGCTTTTTGTTGTTTGTTTATATCACGTAGTCTGTTCTTCTTCTCTGTCTTCCGGTTGTTGCCTGTTTTGAATGACAAATACACACTACCGCCGCCTGCTGGTAAGGAAAGTTATTGCCACTCACGCATGCTCAGTTCGTACGTGCTCGGCGAGTAAAGTAACGAGTTACTTTATGTATATAGTAACGAAGTAGTGTAATATATTACTTTTTTTTTAAAAGTAATATGTAATATATTATATTTTTTTAGTAACGACCCCATCTCTGGAGTTGGCGATCTCTACTCTAATTTACATGAAGAACAGGAGGTCACGGCTCTCTGTTGAACAGGACTTGCGAGTGGCCCTCTCCTCAGTGCCACCAAGGATACACAAATTCTGAGCGCCCCGACAGGCACATGTATCTCACTAATTTGTAAGTCGGCAAAATATTTACAATAGCACATGTTTCAATGCTGATTGCTGAAATGTTACATTTATAATTTAGTTCAGGACCATGGACAATGCAGCTTCCTTGCATTGACAGTTCTCTGTGCTGAATTTCTGCTGAGTTTCCTTTGCCTCATTTTTAATTTTGTGACCTGTCTGGTTTAAATGAGTGTGTTGCTGCTTTGATGAAGCCTAATTTGATAAAGTTTCAAATTAATTTCTGAAATATTTTGAGTAATATAGTTGTCTTTGTCACATTTTATTTGGCATTAGTAAATAATTATGCACATTTACAGATATTTTACATGATATGAGTGATAACACGTGTTATAAGGGCTATTTTGCACAATAGGTGTGCCTTGAGATGTTTACTTGTCCTTTGGTGTGCCTTGGGCACAAAAAGTTTGGGAACCACTGACGTAAGCAACCTTCCCACGTGAATCCTACGCACGGCGTTATAAATGAGGCCCCAGGTCTGTTTTCGTGGAGTCTAGATGAAGTTATAGTCGTTGACAACAGCTGGGTGAAAAAAAGCACACAGTCATGGGAGATTTGAGCTAGTAATAGTCACATTCATTCATCGCACATTCAACTTGTTCCCCTTTTTGTTGTAAAGGACTAAAGCCAGTGCCTCGATCGGATTACAGTAATGCATTACAAATCTTTTATCTATCCTATGAGATAGACTTTTTTTATTCAACAGCTGACAGAACTGATACATTTGTGAAAGCCCATGTACAACCTTTGTTGCAGGGATTTTCTGATGTTTTATTCTTTTCTGATCAGAGACCTGCTGCTGTGACTTATGAAATACTTTTATATTACACTGTAGAAATGTCTTAAAGACAAAGTCAAAACTACACTATACTAAATAGGAATTCCTCCCATTATTTATATTATATATGGTAAATAGATGAAAGTCAAAAGTGGTCCCTACAAAAGTGGTAGCTCCAAGTCTTGTACAATTATGCGGCTTTCACACCAGCGCTTTTCCCTTTCTAGCTCCGAGCTAGAGCTTTTCTGGTTCAGCTCCGGTTTCCCTTTTCTGCTCCCGCTCTGTTCGCACCGCCCAGCACCCGACTGGTGCTGCCGCTGCTGCGTCATGACGTCACCGTTTACATCGCTAATTTGCTCCCCAACGGCATTACGACGCTCACAACAACGGGGAACTGCGTCGGGTCGATGATCGTGTTGCTTTTAATCACACGAAGCCAGAATAAATTGAATAACGACTTCTCCAACCTTATACTTTGCTCCAGAGTGCCGTGGTTCATTGTTTATTAATGTGTTTCTGCAGCATTTACCGACCACTGCAGTGTTGGCTGCTCTTCCACGGGAGTTTATTCTCCTCCGTTAGCTCCCGGTTAGCTCACACTGCAGCCGCCGCTCTAAAGTATTCACTGTCCGACTCACACAAGCAGCTGATACATATCCCCAGTTCCCCTTAGCCTAAGTGAATGTGTGTCAGTCTGAATTGGTATCACAACGCTGTTATGAAAGTTTCTCTGGTATAAAATGGGTGATGTTAGCATAGCAACCGAAGCTAAACTGACTACTTGCTATTGCTATCCTATTGTGGCATAAACCGTTTTCTACAGGCACATTTTACCGGCGTATTTTTATTATGATTCTACTTGTGATAGTCGGACACGACAACCTGTGCAGCCCATGTATTGATTCCATCCGATAGCTGCTATAATACAAAACAACACGTCTGCCTCTCTCCACAATGATCAATAACAGTGAACGGATGGTCAAAGTAAGGTACAAATAAACAGAATCACACGGAGCCTGGTTAGTGTTGCCTGACTTTATAAAGTGTGTTTATAAGCACTACTGCTTGTAGGCAGGCATGACAGTCGACCCATGTTCAGGGGAGGTGGGTTTAGTTTCCTGCACGCCTCGACGTAAGAGAGACGTAAGCGACGCCACCTCTTAGCTCCGAAGCTCTTGCCTCTAGACCGACAATTTTTTGGAGCTGGAAGTGAACCGGATTCCGGAGCTAAGAGCCGGCGCCGCTGCGGTGTGAACAGGAAAACCCGGCGCTTTTCAGGCTCCAGCTCCGAGCCGGAGCTGAAAAAGCGCTGGTGTGAAAGGGGCATTAGAGATGAGATGTATTTTCAGAACAGTTGTTGGGTGATCCCTGGATACCCTTTGCTAGTTAAAAGCTTGACCAACCTTGTTTTCAATTGAACCACCGTGTATCCACTTACTTACAGCACATCTCCAATCTGCCACATTTTCAGGCTTCCCACAGTCATCCGGGGTTTCAAGGCACTCATTCCTGTGGTACAATTAGCAACCCACAGAACTGCATAATGGTGTCCAGAAACACGAGATGGAGCACAGCATGCCTCCTACATGCCCATATGCTAGCTGACAGCATTCATGCCACTGTTTATACTGCAGTGTATTAACTATTACCCAGCTTGTGGGTGGAATGCCCTCAGGATATTTGAACGCATTCAAACGGGTTAAGAATTCGCTTTCTGAGTTTTATTCTTTGCTTAAACTACTCAACAAGATAACAAGGAAATTAAATGTCCCATTCATTGTGGCACACAATTTCTCCTTCATTGGGCACACAAAAAATGAATGAACTGATTATAAAACCAATATATTGTGAGATGGCAGGCTGTCCAAAAGTTGCAAAGGTATATCTGCAGAAGAAAAGTTTGAAGAAATAGAGACTGAGATAAAGTAAATGTGTTAGTTGGAAAACAAAATGTATTAAAAGCAGCGATCTCAGGGTTCAAGCCACCACAGACTGTTAGAAGTTGAAAGCTGCGAGGGGTCAAGACTTTTGGCCGGTTTCTGATGGTCATTTCTTTTCGACCAAATGTGTTCAAGGACAGGCTCATCGACAATCGAGCAATTAAGGTCATGTTTCTTGAGCACTTCCTTTACACAATTTCCAACCGAAGGTGAATATTCAATTTGTCAAATGTGACATTTCTTAAGGGTAATATCAATGATAAAAATCAGCACAAGAACAAACCCCTAACTAAATGGCACCCAGATAGTGCAGATCTCAAGGTAGCACTAGCTTTATCTCTCAATTAGTTATTTTCATTTCGAAATGTGCTGATACTCAATATTAAAAGAATGGCTTGAGGAACAGGGACATGAAAAGCAATCAGGAAGTCCCTTCTTCTTCTAACTTTCATGCAATTATAATATTTTCAAGGACTGAGCTGAGTTTAAGCAGTCTGATGAAACAAGGTCTGTATGATTGAAGCGCCCACTTTAATGGGACTCAGCAATAAGCAGGGGCAAACTTTATATCCTGCTCCGCCATAAGGCAATTAACAGTTTGACCTGATTTCCTGTTTTTGAAACAAAGTTCAGGATGTGGTCATGAAAACGACAAAGAATACAGATATCACTAATTACAAATTATTATTATTATTATTAACGTTAAGGAATTGGATATGCATAAAACTTGAAATCCTACAAATCATTAGATTATAATACAAATAATTTCACACTGTGTGCTGGATGATGAGCCTCTAAAAAGCAGAAAGATGTAAAATCTGTAGGAATAAGAGAAAAGGTAAAACAACACCCTTTTCACCCTTTATATTATACTTGTAGGCTTAAAGCTCACTCACTTTATCTGGAAGTGTAACTGTACAGTTAGATTTAATTTCCAGATCACCAGTATTATAAACAACCAATACAAAGGAGTATAATAGGTCAGAGCCCAGGACCCATTATTATTATTATTATTATTATTATAGCATTAGACTGACCACACAACCCCAAACTGCATTGTAAAGATCTAAAATGAGAGCCAAGGTGACAGATGGAAGGGATTTAGAGCAATTGCAGTGAGAAGAACGGAGAGGATATAATTCAGTTGGGAGAATGTTATATGAGGGAGTGAAAAGATGAGTTTTCAGCCTGCAGTAGAGGAGTGACACAGTTTTATTTGCAGGCACTGACTGTGCTGCATTTCACTTCTAAGGTTAATCTTTACCTAGCAGCTTTCTCTGCTCCCTATCCTCAGTAACCTTGTGGTGCCCCCCCTCCTCTCTGAGGCCCCTTATGGTTCACCCTGGACTGAACTTAGAAATATCATTAGTCAAGAGAGACTGGAATAATAAACTCCCCACTAGTTTATACAACTGACATACAAAATGATTTGTTGTTATCATCTACTTAATGGTTTTGCTTTTCCTTCAACAGTGCATCACTTGCAAACTCATGATTGAACTATAAAAGCTTGTGAAGACAAATGTACAAGTACAGCTCTGTCCACTCTCTTTGAAGTCTAATGGCTTTCTCCTTGTGTTTCAGCTGAAGGCGTGCCCCAGGTGTTCTACTTTGGGCCCTGTGGGAAATACAACGCCATGGTTCTGGAGCTGCTGGGCCCCAGTCTAGAGGACCTGTTTGACCTTTGTGACCGGACCTTTTCACTGAAGACTGTTTTAATGATAGCTATTCAGCTGGTGAGTTCAAAGATGTTACACAGTAAGATGTTTTTAAATAGCTTACACTAACTTATTAAGACTATGAGACTCAACTCTTACACTTACTCGACTATCTTCTGAAAATGAACGCCCAAGATGGAGCACAAATTGTGTTTCATTTTAAAAGCAATTAGCAGTAGTGGGAAATAAAAAAAGGGCAGAAGAAAGCTACTAAATAAGATGCATTTCTTTAAGGAAAATAAGACAATGTCTGTCTGACATAATGGCCGGGTTCTGCCTTTCTGCGGATTGAATCAAGGCCCCAAATACAATTTTCCTATAGCTGTTACATTGTTTTGGTGCCTACAGCTCAACAAATTATTCTTTATTTATACACAAAGTCCTTCCCCCAGAGACCCATTGAACAGGTGGGTTACCACTGCAAATTAGCAATCTGACAGTGTACACGTGGTCAGACTCACTATCACTGACTATCATTAGGTCTGATTTTCCAGCATTTCATTTTGTCAGCATAAAATCTGCAGTGCCCTTGTAATGAAGATATCCCCTGCAAATTCGTAAGGAAATCTACAAAACTGCACACAAAGCCTGCATCTCAGCCAATCTCTCCTCTGTATTTATCACGTTGGTCTTCCTCTTTATTTTTTGGCTGAAGTGAGTAATCCCTCAATAATGCCACGTTTACACTGAGACGAAACGGGTGTTATCCGCTACAGTTCTCTATCGTATGGACGGTTCGTCCACACGAGGCCGTAACGGAACCGCGGAAACGGAGCCCTCAAACGATAACGGCTCCCATGGTGGGTAGATCTGCGGACGAAACGCTCTGGGGGGCCGTGTGTACGTCCTATACGATAATTTCCTGATAACGATGAAGCCATAGCCCCGCCTCTCCCCACCTCTGCTGTTCACCCTTGCGTCACCCGCGTCATTGCTGATGTGTTTCTCCAACAACAACAACAACAACAACAACAATGGCGGATCACAGGGTTGCTTTCGTGCTCCAGACGCTACTGACCATGATACAGATGTTAGTGCAAAAATCTACAGCTCCTCTACCACAACCATCAGCAACAAGTGGACATGGAGAACTACATGAACTACATGTTGCTAAATCCACCGCGGAGCATAAACAGAAGGGCAACCAGGCAACCATGCTCGGGAGGTCTTATTCGCTGCTTTTGTTGTATTTTGTGGCGGAAGTACAGCACCACTTACAAGCCCGGCATATGTACTACAGCGGGTAGAGTGGTCTCGTGTGGACGGACACGTTTCTTGAGCCGATTCCATGTGGATGGAAGACTTTTTTGATATCGACTAAGGTTCGTTGTTTTTCGTCTCCGTGTAAACGTGGCCTAAGTGCTGTGTGCCCGTTCTCCTACACATTTTCCTTTTTTTATCGATGGTAACTGCTCTGAGCGCTTTGTTAAGATTTAATCTACAAACACGTTGTTTTGATCTTGATGCCTTGTGCTTTTGAAGTCCTAGCAGGAAGGTTTCACATCTCAGCTAGTGGCTTGAAATTCTGGCTCCACATCAAGAGAGGCTTTTGTTGTGGGATAGTAATTACCAGCCACGGCAGTGAGGCTGGTATTGTTTTCACCTTGGGAGTCTGTGTGTGTATCACCAGGGCAAAATGTGCTCCTGGAGATACCTTCTGTTGTGGGAACTACCACATAAGCTTTTAGTACTTCGTAATGTGTATATATCTGTCTGTAGGAAGATGTTGTCATGGCGTCTCAACCCTGCAAGATGCAGTCATGAAACTTTACAGAACTATAGTTGAGATCAAAATGTATGCCGAGTTCGAAGATGACCTTGATCTGACGAAGGGTGGTGAAGGATGTACTGCCCTGGCCCGGCTCATGAGATCCTATTGCATAATGGTCTTTAATGGCTCACTGCTGGAGCTGTGCAGCAAAGTGCTCAAGCAGTGAGTCAATTAATCATTGGTGAATCAGCATAAATTAATTGACTACTTTGTAGATGATTTGTCACCTTTGAGACATTTAATGGACTAAAGCGTTCATTGATTAATTGTAAAACATTCATGATAAATTATCATTGTTCGACCCAGCTCACAATTTAACGTCAGGGATTTCATAAAAATAATTTGTTCTGTGGTCGTTTTGTTTTTGGTAATAAGGTTCGTGTCTTTCAGCATGTCTTTATGTCTTTCAAGGGCTGCTCTGGCATTACCATATACCTTTCATAAAGAAAGACACTATTTAGAGACAGAAAAACTAACAGTAAAAATGTATGTCGCACAGACCAAGAATGTATGTCTTTGTTTTTATGGGTATGGGTAAAACACTGAATTCTGGATTTCCCATAATGCAACTCAATTGCATTTTTCATTAAACATTGCCTAATGAGAATACCCTCATGCCTTTTTTAAAAGTTGATGTTTCTGTCATACATTGTTAGTCTCCAAGTCTCCCTGACAAAACCACAGAGGCATTTACTACAGGCTGCGTATAAAACAATGACTAATAAACTGATCTTCATGAGTGAATTGGTGGTATGCACCATTAATGTGTAATAATGCGGACATGGATTCGATAAGGAATACTATGTTCTAGATAGGACTGACAGTGGACTTTCATTGAAATGTCAGTTTTGAGTGATTGTGACCTGTTGACTCCCGCTCTGCTGACTTTGTGTTCTGGATTGTGATTATATCTGATTTTTGTCAATGTTGATTTTGCTGTATTCTCTCCCATCAGATTTCTCGAATGGAGTATGTGCACTCTAAAAACCTCATCTATAGAGATGTAAAACCTGAAAACTTTCTCATCGGACGGCAAGGGAATAAAAAGGAAAACATCATCCACATCATTGACTTTGGTCTGGCCAAAGAGTACATCGACCCCGAGACCAAAAAACACATTCCATACAGGGAGCATAAGAGCCTGACTGGCACTGCCCGTTATATGTCTATCAATACACATTTAGGCAAAGGTAAGACTAGCTTTGTTTTAATTCTGTATTTGTCTAACATGTTTATTATGCAATGTGGTTTGTGGTTATTTCTTGAAGTTTCTCAGTGAAATGTTATCAAATCTATTGATATAGAGCAAAGCCGGCGAGATGACCTGGAGGCCTTAGGCCACATGTTCATGTATTTCCTTCGTGGGAGCCTACCATGGCAAGGACTGAAGGTATGCCAAGTACATGGAAGTGTTTCAAAATCAGTATTATCCTTTTTAGAAAAGCATGCCATGTACACATCTGAGAGCTGAAGTGATCTGGTCTGCAACCTTCAGAGCACCAATGTTGTTTTAATTGAAGTTGGTTATGAACAATTTTAGAATCAGATTTCAGGCAGTTTGTGTTAGTCCAAATCGAGTTTACAAGTGAAACAATGTAAATATAAAAATAAAATTTGTGTTTTTGCTGCAACTAAAGAGAAATAAGAGGTGATAGTATGAATTGGAAATAAACAAATTGTCCCTTTGTGTAATCCACTAATCTGTACAGTAATGATTTAAGATGTATTTTAAGCAGTCTATATTAGGAATTGTCATATCATTCTGATTAATGCTCGTCAGACATCAGAATTTGTTCAAATTTCTTCTTGTTTTGATTGCGCTGCAGGCAGACACATTGAAAGAGCGATACCAGAAGATTGGAGACACCAAACGAAACACTCCCATCGAGGTCCTCTGTGAGAACTTCCCAGGTACACTGACGATGGATGTGATTTATTTATGGATCATGCTGAAAAGCTTGAAAATGATCGCATAGCCTCTGATTTAACCTTTTACTACTGGACGTTTCCAGATCAAATGTTTTTAAATGTCATCTCACTATTAGGATTTTAATATCCATATAAAAGGTGAAACCATTCTTCTATTTTTTAATTCAGAGGAGATGGCCACCTACCTGCGATATGTGAGACGGTTGGACTTCTTTGAAAAGCCGGACTATGATTATCTGCGGACTCTGTTCACCGAACTGTTTGAGAGGAAGGGATACACCTTTGATTACACCTACGACTGGGTTGGCAGGCACATAGTAAGTAACGCACATAAACAACAGACACGTTTTAATTTGGACAAACCATTTTTTTTACCAAGCTAAAATGAACAGGATTTAACTGGTGATATTTCCCCTCAGCCCACACCAGTGGGGTCTACCCACATAGACTCGGCAGCCTCTGCTGTGACGAGAGAGACCCATCCTCACAGAGACCGGCCCACACAGCACCCACCCATTAGAAACCAGGTACACCCGCCTTTTGGTCTTTTTTTGGAGTGAAATCAAGGGTTCAATCACATCTTGTATATATGTATGAATGACAACCATACATATCCCCCTATTGAAAAGATGTCAGGTTTTAGGGTGACCTTTAATCTAACCTGCGATTAAGGGAACTGTAACGCATAAGCTTATACTCAGGATTCCGCCGTTATCAGGAAGTTATCGTTATCACTAAATAAAATTATATTATATGAGTTGTAAAGCACGTAAAGAATGTAATACTGTATGAGTGTAAAGCATTTCTTTTTTTTAAATATATTTCATTGCAATAATTACAGCATTTCTAAGGGACTGCAGTTCCCCTTTGCACATGTGTAAACACGAATGTGTGTATTTGATTCCTACTGTTAATTGCTTGTACAAAGACAACTCGTCAAACAACTTTTCTCATAAAATAAATTATAATATAGGTTTATTTTATATTCAAAATAAAAGGACATTAAGTTTAAGAACTTACCCTCGTTTGGCTTTGAGCTCATTAGTTTCTGGTTCAATTCTTTGGCTGAAGCGTTGCTTTGAGTTTTATTCACTTTTATTTTTGTTACATTTTTTGTTCTCCATTTCTCATGCTGCTTTGCATGGTACCTGACCTCGCACACCCAAATATCCATCTTTCCTAACGCAATTATTCCATCACCACCCCCACCCTCTACCATCGCACCCCCAATGCCACTCCCCCTCACATCACCGACGCCCCTGAGCAGACAGCAGCCTCAGACCGACGAGGAGCATGGGAGGTGCAGCCCACACGCCAAGCAAACTCCTCCTACCTGACCTCCCACCTGGCAGCGGACAGGCACGGGGGCTCAGTGCAGGTATACACCCCTCACCTGATCAACCACACCCCCCACCCGATCTCTGTGGAGTCAGATCTGTCTCATAGAATCTAATCTAAAATAAATAAGTCAAAGTCCTAGCAACACTTGGCTGCATCACTTATATATGTGTTGAACCTTTTCAACGCTGAAGATGGTGACTTGTTTAAAAAAAAAAATGAATCTGTTACTATATCCTGATTGTAGTATATGAGAACAATTATCTGGTAAATTAACCAATCGGAGCCGAGGAGTCTGTTACGCTGTGTCAATCATATTGAACCTCATTTGATTAAACAAAGCTCCAGTGGACGGTGATTGGTTTCGGCTCATTTGTTTATATCATGGCAGCCAGCTCAAAAAGTTCATTAAAAAAGATATGAAAGCACTTCAGACAAGAAATGTAGTATCTTGTTCTGTATTTGATCAGCGCTGTTTAGGTTCATAGTTGTGTGCTACTTTGTCAGAGACTTTGGAGCTGTGGAATGGCAAATACATATTAATGGGGGGAAAGAGAGAAATATAAAACATTTGCACACATTATCTCTCTAGCGCCATACTGTCAGGATATAGTGACAATTTGAGAAAATATGAAAAAGTTATTTTTAAGTTTACCGAAACATTTACAAAAAGTGATTCTGCATTATTATAAATAGACTTGCCCTGTCGACTCGATTCCATAAGAGCGATTGAAATTAGGTATTTCTAATTACTTTGACCATATCTCATTAACAAGCAGATGTACAACAGTTAATAACAGGACACAATGTTTATTTTGTATTTTAGCCTGGCATGTGAGACAGATCTACAACCATAAACTCCCCCCTCCTCCCCCCCTTTAGCCCATGCTGGGAAATGTTCTTTTTTTCTGCTCCACCATATGCATGTCATCTGGTGCCACCCACCCCAGATGGTGAAAATGTGATGAAGCTTTTTGAACAGCAGGCCTGGTAGTGGCATTTTGATTTCAGGTCATCGCGCTTGGACATTCCTTGCAGATCAAGAAGCCCTCTTTTGCATGGCAGGGCGACCCGGCTCAGCCCGCTTAGTGCATGCTCTTTAGTTGAAGAGGGTCATTGAACATTAAGGAACATTCTGGTGTTATTTTGCCTTATAGCCATTACCAAAGACTGTCTTCCATATGTTCTGTCTGCATAGGTGTGTACAGTGCAGGCTACAGTAGATGTCTGGCTTTTCTGCTAAATGAAATTCACTCTAATTTAATGTCCTTCCTTCAGCAGAAGATTTTTGTACATTTTTTGCATCATGAATGGAATTTAATGGTTTCAAATAGATGAGAATCACAAAGGCGTACACTGAGCACACCTATGCACAAAAGACACATTTTTGAAATAATTATTATGCATTTCTTCTACAGGTGAAACCACCAATAGCTTTGCATACTGTAGTTTGTCCGCTGGTGGCAGTTTGGTGTCATATCTTTCATCCATGTATTTTTGATTTTGCAAAGGGTTTATACTTTTACAGTTTTCCTCTATACTGGCATACAGACTGGAAAGTGAATTTCAAAAACAGAATAATAAACAATAAAAGTAAAGTCATTTGGTAAAGTAACATTAAATGTAGTGTTTATCCAGAGGAAGTCTCCATCACAGCTGGACGAGTTCTTCGTTGGTTCTGGCCTGAACATCTCCTTTAGAGCTTTGAAGTAACACGCGTCTGTGCCACAGGTGGTCAGCTCGACCAACGGGGAGCTGAATGCAGACGATCCCCTGACGGTTCATTCCAACGCTCCCATCACAGCTCAGGCAGAGGTGGAAGTGGTCGACGAGGCCAAGTATGTGTCATACGCTCGCCACATCTCTCCAATATGTCCATCTGCCTCTTCCTTTCTCTCCCGCTCTTCCTCTCTGTCTCTCACCACTCTCTGCTAAGCTGTTGAATTGTGACAGCCCCCTCCCCTCAGCTGTTATCCTTCTCCTCTCATCTTCTGTCTACTTGTGCGAGTTTCTGATCTTGACTGCTGCCTGTTTCTTCGCTGTTTCCTTAATTAGATATTAAGACTCTCATACCCGTCGCCTGAGCAGCCCAACACAGACTACACTGGCAGCCAGTCCCTTTTTAGCAGCATGACCTTCTCAAAGAAACACTCCACTGTTGATCATCATGTCTAACAGTGTCAGTGATGATCCATGCAAGCTGATTCTGTGAGCGTATTGTGGAAGCAGCCAGTTGATGTCACACCAGATTGTCCGTGTGGCAACTTGAACTTAGTCACATGTACAAAGATTATGCTAATGATGTCATCGTATCAGTCACTTTTGAGGCAAACATGGAGGGAAAGAAACTCAGAGTTGGAAGCTAAACTGCTATGGTTCCTAGTCTTCAGCATGGCTGGCTGCCAACTGTGCACGGGGTACAACTGTGAAGAGCTGATCCAAGAAAGTCATCTCTGAGACAAAAGTATATTTATAATAAAGGTGAAAAGGCACCGTTTGTATTAGAGGCTGCTTGATGATACAGTAAGGCAGATTTGTGCTGAAAATGGTGCTTTATCATATATTATCAGTGAGCCAGTTAACCATTTAAAATGAGAGAAATGTATTTCAAATGAAAAGGAAAATGTCAAGCTTTGTTGGAGTTACTATAATACATATTGTAAAGATCTTTGCCATCTGAGTCCATCAAAGCCACTGTTAAAAAAAAAAAAGAAAGAAAGTGTTGTCATGAATTTCCCACAGGTTCATTCATTTAAATCTGCACTCGTTCTGTTTCTGCCCAGATGACAGGCCTTCCTCCTGTTGTCTCCATTCATGCGGTTGTTTGATATTATTAACAGCGCGTTTGTTGACGTCCGATACAAAAACATGAAGTCATTAATGCAAATCATGCATCTGATACAGTTTAATTAAGGATTTGCATTTTGAGTTATTATAATGTTTGTAGAGTGAATGAATGCCAATGGCGTAGTTCTCTTGGGATTAGTGCTGGATCAGGTTGGATATACTTTGGGTTTTGGTGATTCTATCATCTACAAAAAATAGCATTTGTTTAAAGTAGTAACTCTAACTATCTAAATAAAGCAAAGTTATTCCTATATTTACAAATGTATGGCAATTATGTTTAATATAAATTGTCTCTTCCCAAAACTGTTATTTTTGACAGGTTTTACAGCTTGTGGTGCGACAGTGACTTCCTGTTGACATAGTTGATTGGACAGCAGATTGACAATACAGTGACTAAAGTCATGTACTAAAGACCAGCTAAGACTTTTAATTGTGCTTCCAAATTAACTTCATCAATAGTTATCAAACTATATTACTGATGGATTGATTATGAATGGTTGAAAGCACTTACTTTCATTGATGTGCACCAACCATTTTCGAGACAGAAAAAGGCATTTGATATCTGACATTGAGAAACACAAGAAAAAAGACACTGGAAATAAATAGATAATTAAATCATAAGGGCAATTGATTTGTTTGTATTCAGGATGCAGACCAAGTAGTTTTAAAAGTTTGGTAAATACACATTATTTAGCAAATGTAGCATACACACTACACCACTTATCTTTATCTTCTAACAGGCAGGAGATCTGGGATAAGAAATCTGACGTTCTGTAACTTCCTCTGAGATCTTTTCTCCTTTAACCTCTCCAACGTCCCCTCTCTGTGTCCACTGGAGTCCCGTTGGTCTGTGTGTGTTTGTGTGGCATGTGCCCAGTCCATCATCTTGGTCTTGCTGTATTAATCTATCTTTCTTTTCTCTTTACACTCTTTCTTCTTCTGTAGCTGCGTGAAAATGCTCAACCTGTGGTGAGTCCCTCTCTGCTCGTCCACATCAGATTCATGGGACAGGGAGTGGACATCGTAGGCTGGGGTCCAGTGGAGTTGTTATTTTAACTATTGTAACCAGACTCTCACTGGTACAATAATAATGCCACTCTCTACTCTATTCCCAAGTCTGTGCTCTTTTCTGCCCAGTGACAGATCAGTGAAGAATACTGTAAACAGTGCTGTCATGTGAGCAGGATTATTCAAACTTGACCTCCCCTCAGTGCAGAAGGAATCAACAAGTGACTTTGATATAGGTTTACTAAATCACCTTTTTCATGAGCCCCTGCTATATTTGTAGGGGATCAGATATCGCTCTTTCACAGAACATTTGGCTCCAGATTTAAGGTCTTTAAACTCTTGTTGCATGGTGCATCATTATTTATTGTTAATGAATTAATCGAAGAGTTCCCAGTCACTGTCCTATGTCTTGATCAACAGCTGGTTTGTCTTTGTATGTTCATTGGCCGTTGAGGCTCACGTTGTCTTGTGCTCTTTGTGTGCACTGCTCCATTTTATTTTACATAGGAGAAATGTTTTCTTCACTGCTGCAGCCTTTGATTTTTTTCTAATCAAACTTTTTGCCAGCTGCAGTTCTCACTATTATGATCCCAAAAACACATCTGTCCAGATTTGAAAGACTCTATTTCAGTTCTTGTGATATTCAACACTGTAATTGAAGCAGCCCGCTCGTGTTTGTTCTTTCTTTGTGCTTCATCTGAAGCCCCTCTCATCTCCATATGGGTTTAATGTGTGTCTCTGTCCGCAGGTGCTGCTGCTTCTTCAAGCGAAAACGGAAGAAGAACACGCCGAGGCAGAAATGATCCTCCACCACCGACCTGAAACGCTCTGTGTCCCGCTCCGTTGATTGTGATCTCAGAAATCAATAAGGTCCCATTCAGAATAATAAGGGGAGACAACCGAAAGGTCTTGATTGAATTGTCCTCTGGAGGGGCCCGGTAAAAATGGTTTGTTGAGAAGGACAAGGCGCTTGTGTCTTTTGATGGGAGTCTTCTTTTATTTTTTTTCCTCCTACATTTGTTGGAATGTTTTGCCGGCCACTCGTCCAAACGGGGAACCTTTTTTTTTTTTGCAGAAGAAATTATTATTATTTTCTCCCAAGAACCCAGCTTTTTTACTTTTTATTTTATTTTTGGATGATTTTTGCTCCCGTTTCTCTTCCATGGTATTGCAAAGGAAGAGACAGATCTTCCCGTGGAGTGTTGCCACCTTCAGCCTGTCATTTCTTTGCTTGTCCCACACAATCATGTCTTAATTTTCCATCTGTCAAGTCCCAGTTCAAAGTGGTTTGCTCCTCATTAGTTTGCCAACTCATTTTGACTCGATGCCCTTTTTGGTCATTCCTGGCGTGGGACTGAATGTAAACCTGAACACACAAGGAGCCAAGAGTGTAACTGCCTATCTTCAGGCAGAAAGAGCATCAGTCAGCCATTTGGCTCCTGCACTTTTTTCCTCCAAAGGGGTCAACCTTGGCACTGGGACCCGGGGCCTGAGAGGACAGAAGCCCAGAGACGCCTCCTGCACTGTGGTCTCTGAGAAGGACTTCTGCTCACCTTGCTTGGTTAAAGCACTTTCCTTAACCACGCCGCTAAAAACACACTACAGTCTCTTTCGACTCACATGCAGTCTTGCTCCTGTCGGCTTTGTGATAACGAGCAGCGACCTGACACTTGTTCACGGGCTTAAAAACAATGTGCTATTTACGCTATTTATCTCTTGGTTGCCACCCGTTTTCTTACTAAATCTCAAAACATACACACTGAATGTATGGACAGAAATGCAAATGGAGCATTTATACAATCTGTCATGCGCATGGGAAGGAAATTGCGATTTAGAAGTTAAGACCAATGTTTAAAAAAAGGAAAAAAGTTTGACCAAAACTAAGTGGATTAGAGGGGGAGGGTCTTAAATGTTGTTAATCTTAATAATGTGATGGTAAAAATGGACTCTTCACCGGAAGACACTGGGGGATGTTGCTTTGGAGTGACAAGAGAAACTGGCGTGATGTGCTTTGGAGATCGATTCACAGCCGCTCCACGCTACTGTCCAATGCCTTAACCCCGCCCCCCCCACACCAACCTGTCACATCGCCAGAGTACAGCATGATGGTTGTGTGACCTGGAGTGCATCTTTTTGGGGTCTCTTGTATAGTGAAGTTCGCCAACTAGTATCGGAGTAGTTAATTAATTCCCTTGCAACACGTAGGATGTATTCCCAAGAGAGAGCAATGCCAAATGGAAGGTTTGGTGTAATAATCTGTATTAAGTCGTCCCTGACCCCTGTGCTGCAAAGCCATGTTTTAAATTTGGGCGACTCTGCTGAACCCCTGGTCCCTCTCCACTGTCAGCGGGGGCTGTCCATACCATTTTTATTTTTATTTAGTGTCATGGAGGACTGCCTTGAAACAATATCCTCGATATGTCACCTTGCCTATCCTCCTAACAGAGAGTGAATTTCCATACATAGGTGTTTTTATTTTTTTATTTGATATCTTGCTAATGTGAATTTGTTGAATGCAATTTTTTTTTTTCATTCCAAATAGCCATGGTTTTATGGGGAAAGAGAGGGTTAAAAAAAAGAAGCTTGAGACCATGACTGCACTACATTTGTTGACTCGGCTTTCCCTGACGAGACCCTGCCTTCTTAGTACTGAACTTTAACGTGCTTATTACTTTAATTGTAGCTGCCTATGCGTGCTAGGCTTTCCTATAGGGTGCAGGGAATACACTTTAAATTGACTTTTATCCCCACCCACTCCTTTGTTGTGCCATGACACCTTCCTACTTCCTCTCTGCACACACGCATGCACACACACACACACACACACACAAACGTCCTATATGAATCTGATCCTAGCAGAGTGCTAGATTTGGTGTTTTGTGGACCTGCTCCATCATCTTTGGAAATACAATGTTGTAGATGTTGCAGACTCAATGAATCAGTATGTAAACCTGCTTGTTGCGTGTATTTACACTGTATAGCTTTTGGTTTATTCTCAGCCCTGATATGTCAGTTACTCCGGGGTCTAAGTTATTGTGTTATTGAAAGTACTTGAATATGAATATCTACGGGACCTTTTATGTTTTTTTTTTGCATTTTCTTGGTCATTTTCATAGTAAATCCATACATTTTTAGGGGATTTGATGGGAAAATGGGCTATTTGAATGACAGGTATTCATCTCCTTGAGATGTCTTAGTGCCTCGTGAGTGTGTTGGACAGATGTCAGACTGTGGAGTCCTGTGCCAGTGTTGGGTTCATGGTTTACCCAGAGGAGTTGGATGGAGGTTAAAATCACACTTTTGTTTCTGTGAAATATTAACCATAATGTATTCCAATCCATTAAAATCCTTTATTTGTTCCTACACATGTAACATCTGCTGCCTGTGACTCTCCCCACAAAGCATCAGCACACCCGGACTGTTTCACTCCAGCTACCTGTGAAAAGTTGGAAGTATTTCTGTGTAGTGAGATGGATATCAAGACTATAATAGCCTTCGACGTTCCCCCTGAATTCCCCGAGTGCCATTCCTGAGACTACTACTGGCCCATGCCTTTTGCCCGTGCCAGGAAAATATGAAGTTGAATGTTTTTTTGACCATCGCACTCCACCTTGTGTCCTTGACATGTTCACAAATCCCAGAGCAACGTGGCTCAATTCAGTACCAGGAAGTGTTTTAAGGGTTGTTAAAGAGTGTTGGAAAAAGCGTTTTATGATTAGCTTCGGTTGGTTTCTCTCTCTTAATGTTGAAACCAACACCATTTTGTCGACCAAGTTTATTATTTCAGTGTTGGATTTGTGACCGGTCGTCTTCGCAGCGTCTGATTCTTCCTTAAACTGTGGGTCCTGGCTGAAATGTTAGATATAGAAATATTACTCTGATGTATTTACTTTTCTCTCTCTGGAGTCTGGACCTCGTACAGAGCGATATAGGAGTACTCTGTGTGTTTTGTATCTGCATGGCTTACCTGGAGACGACAGCGAGCGTACTGTCTTGAGTTTCTCACCTGTCGGGCTCGTATACTGTTGGGTCAGTGAGACGTTATGGCTTCCAGTCCTCATGTAATATAAATAACATTCATGTCTTCTCACAGCACATTCCATTTCTCATTATTTCTGGTATTCACTTCAATCGGACTTGTGTTGATGGCTCTGGTTGTGGGTAAGTCGCATTACTGTGTCGAAGCTGTGTAAATCAACGCAATGGACAGACAACGTGTGAATGAATGGCTTCGGTCTTTATGGGTTCTCTGGCACTTTTTCCTTGTTGCTGTACTTTAGGATTGTCTTGGATTTACTGTATTATTCTTTGAGGGAGAGGTTTAGGTTAACATTATTGCAATATTGTGATGATTATTTGAAAATTGTAAATTGTACAGAGTTCACAATTATACTCTTTGTTCTTTTTGTTGGGATTCCATATAAAACATGTATTCTTTGATTATGTTTTTCTCTCAGACTGGAAAATCAAATTGTACAGCTTCAAGAGTTTATCCTCCCCTCAACATTTAGTTTGCAGAGCTATGATTAAGAGAAATCTTAAAACTGTAAATAAATATTATTGTGTTGAAATATGAATGTCACTTCAAAATGTATTTGAATGAGTTTGTTAAGGGCTTCAAGAATGAAGGACCCACATTTCTTCTTTTTATTGTTTCATACTTTTAATTTGCATAAAGGTAAAGGTCCTTTTTTTTAAGATGCCTTTTGTTTTTTTGTTCTCTCCTTGGATTCATATAAAAGAATGTGTGTCACACATGAATCCTATAAAATCACTTTTTATTCCCTCCACACCTAAAGGGAAACTCCAGTTTGCACCCTTTTTTTATGTAAAAATAAAAGATCTCTCCACCTTGTGGGAACGTTTTTTGTCAAATTATTTTGTATTAAATTGCTCCAAATATGGTAATCTGACTTTAATGAAATTGCAAATATACACATAATGAATTCAGTGGGTGGGTGCAGAAATATACATTTGGGAGGGGAGGTGACTTGCAGGGTTATTTTTAAATATGTTGAATTGATAACCTGATTATTGCCAGATTGTTTTCTCTTCCATATTTTCAGGAATTTTACAACATCACATATGACAGTTAACTTGAAGTGTACAACAGATGCTTATGTTTAGACTGTAAATGAAGCCAATTGCTTAATAGTTAGGTGTACAAGAAACAGGACAGGTTAGCAAAATAAGTTGTCAATGGTAAGATGTTGTACGGCTCTAAATTAAAAGTCACTATGACAAGATGATCTTAAGAGGAATGCTGGGATCGCAGCAGCAAAATAACATACATAATTAGATAAAATATGCAAACTAAAATGTCACTTTTTTTTTCTTCTCAAAAGCAATCAAACTCAAAATGACAAGACTGTGCACATCCGGTAACCATGACCAGGATGTACTGAAACTGATAGCAGCACTTTCTCAAGTGATGTGACATACAGTAGAGGTGGGGTTAATAGAGGCAAAGTTGAGTTTATGAAAAAGTCATAGGATACACACTATTATAACCAGGGCTGCACATAACTGGTGCGCATGCGCGCCTCCGCCAATAAAAGAGCACAGTGTCATTTGAAAAAAGGCGCATTTGCGTACCAACATTGAGAGGAGCGAAGAGAGAGAAATATATTTGCGAGTTGCATATGAACCTATGATATGAGCTCAGGGCCGGTGTTGTGCCGTAGATTGAAGCCTTGCCGTAGATTGAAGCCCTGTTCGCGGGGACGCGCAAACGTGACGTCATCGCCTGTATTGAGCGTTCGTCTAGTTTAAAAAGCTTTTCTCTCTTTTGAATGATATATTTCCCATCAGATTAAACAGCAAACGGATTAATAAATAATGTGCATACAATTGCGAGGAGGCTCGTTTTAAGGACACTTTTCAGATAGTCACAATCTTCGTATTGGAACAAACTTCCGTTTTTGAGTGCAGTCCCACTCTGTTATATTCCTCCTTCCTACAGAACAGACAATGACAGGATAATATGTGATTTGTCAATAGTCCTATTTCTTAAAACCTTCTCTGTTGTTTAAGTGTCTGATAACCACGAATAGTAAGCAATGATATAACAGTAATGATATCACATGATCATGTCAGACAGACACTGTGTTATTTTCAATCAAGCCTAAAAGATAATGTGTTCAAACTGGCTTCACTCACTTGAATTGCTCCTTTGAATATCATTTTTATATATCCCTACTCAACACATGTTTGTATTGTAATGCCACTCATATTTTTTTTTAATTGTATTTTAAGGTGACATTGAATGCTTTGAAAGGTGCCCTAAAATAAAGTGTATTATTGGTGTCAATAGGGAAGATCTGCACTGTTCTCTACATAACATGTTCAGAGCAGGAATTTCTCCTGCCGGATTTGGAACCCCCCCTGTGAGGAAAACTTCTGTGGAGCAATGCTGAGGTGAAATGATGGAGACTGGATCGTCGTTAGCCAAAACACTGAGAGTTTATTAAAGAGTACGAAAATACAGCCGGAGAGATTACATGGTTTCACACTGCCCGTGCAGCCACCAAGTCATCTCTGAAGACAAAGCCAGAAACACAGGACCTTACATGAGAAAGGGAGGGGCCTTGAATAACGCGGGCTTTCCTTTAATGAATGCCAGATGTCGGGACAAAAGGCCTGTTTGTCTCACAAGTAGAGAGAAGAGGAAACCCTCCCCCACAGGAAGAACAGAGAAGCTTATTGACCTGTGACCTCAATTTACAGAGAGGATCCTATGACTTTAACGAAAAGCATGTTTGCAATAAGACAGATTCTCAGAAAAGCTGAGAAACTCTATACAATCAAGATCGGATTAAAATGTTCTCTCACAGTTTCATTCTTTTTATCAATTTATGATAACCAATTAACACTAGTCTAAGAATATTTCAGTCAATACTTAAATCAATAAGCGTCTTCAGAGTTGGGTGGGCTCACTTACATCAATTACATCAAAAGTAAAACAAGATTGAAAACACTTCAATCACCATGATTGAATACAGTCAATCATACTAGAAAAATCATCTCTCTTCAGTACTTGGCATAATTTGTCAAAAAGCACAATAATAAACACACATGAAATACAAAAATATAATAGCAAAATATATGTTTCAAAAATAAGATCTTTTATCATTTATCACTCAGTTAATCTCATTCATCAAACAAAAATTCTAAATCAGTTTACATCTCAAAGATTTACTTCAAGGCAATTACTTATTAAAAACACAATTAGAATTTAGGATTATAATAAATCCAATTGAGGTATAAATCAGAATCATGAGAGATCCAGCTAAGGTTCCTAGTTAAGGTATACATTCACAGTGATGAATCGATCAATCTGTAATCTGTAAAGTTACAGTGTCCTCAATCTTTAACATTAATTAAGTTTACTTCATTACGCTTTATTCAAGAGTAAGGCACTTAGTAATACATTTATTTCATTCAAATACATTTGTTCAAAATCTGAAAAGGAAGAATCAGACATTTATTGTATAACAACCTGAAAAGGAAAAATCAAAACATCTGTTCTTTATTCAGAGTATCAACTGTAATCAATTTATCAATCGCTGAATGGGGGTACCCATGGTACAGAAACCGCGATGGAGACCCATGGATCTGGAAGCTCTGTGTCATACATCAATATTGTGTCATCTACAGTTGAATACCCCACTATCCTCTGTGGGGCCTGGAGGGCAGTCTTGGCAACCCTTCGTATGGCTAATTTAACTACAGTGATCAAACAGATCACTAGGATTAGCACAACCAAGATAAACACTGAAACAGTAACAACAAATGTAACCAACCCCGCTCCCCAGGATCCAAAGGTTCCACTTAAATCCCCAAATGTAAACCCATGAGTTTCATGCAATTCTTTTATTCCCCTAGCCGTATCATGAGCCATATCCATAACTTCAGGTGTAGCATCAGAAATGAAAGAACAGCACTCACTTCCAATCACCTTGCATGTGCCCCCCTGGGCAGCTAAGAGGAGATCCAGCGCCATACGATTCTGTAGTGCTACTGTCCTAACTTTCTGCAATTCTTTGTGTTCAGCTAACATCGCTGTGTTAGATACATTTAGATGATGTTCCACTACTTTGGACAGTGCCACAATTTCCTGCTGAGTAACATAAATACCGTACCAAGGCAAAAATAGGCTAGCTATCTGTTGTCCTTGTGTAATTGACCTGCTGTTCCTGTGTAGAGAGGGAAGTATCGCTGCAATCTCATTAGCCTCTATTTTACGGATTAAAGGGATTAGGTACACTAGATAACAGGTGCCATAAAAAACGTCATAGGGCACACAGCCGTACGCGCCAGCGACGTGCAGTCAGGGGAGGCAGGGGAGGCAGAGCCTCACCTGTCATACTCATAGACTGGCCATACTACAATGTAACGGAAAAACAACTAAAGAAAAACTAAATAGTAATAATAATAAAATGTCTCCACTGATCTGTGTTGTAAATGTGATTTATGTATGATTCCAATCGCTTTTTATAGTCAAAATCAGCAAATTTGCCGAGCTCCGCTACAACTACATGGGAGCGATGAGGAGTGAGGCAGGGACGAGCTCTGCCTCGTCGTAAACCCACAGTAACTTGCTGGAGTGCGGGCACTAATTTAGCGCGGGCACTTATTTTGTGAGCGCCAGTTACTGTGTGGTAAGGTGAGGCACAGATGAGATCTGCCTCACCTCAAAATGCGTCACCTCACAGAAACTGGCTGGAAAGCGGACACTAAGCGCATGCCTGTTACCATCTCACTGTAGGTCACCAATGTAATGTTTGTAGATCCCTTTATTACATTTATCCTCGCCATCCATAGTCTCTAAATAACTTATTTCACGTATGATATTTAGGCTCGCCGTACACGGCAATGAAAAAAGCACCAGGGGAGGCAGCCATAACCTCTGCCACTGAAGGGGGCGCACGTGAGCCCACAGGTCCTTGTTGCTACTGTTATTCTACGCAGAGACGGTAGACGCAAACAACAAACTAGACTTTTGAAACTAGAGGAAGATAAGGAGGACTTTTACAAAAAAGTAATAGAGATTGTTGTCCAGAAGGATAGCATGGACTTCATCTTCAAGTCAAGGTAAGACCACATTGGTAATGAAAATTGGTTCTTACTAAGAAAGAACAATCCAATATTTAGATGTTGGGTATCCTTTTGTTGAACGGTCTGTTTAAAATGAATCGAAACATCAGACCAAAAAAGCTTTTGAAAATAACAGAATATTTCGATTAAGGTCAGAATATAATATTTGTAAATCTGACTCTTAAAGAGTCAGTGCCTCACCAGCCATTAACCTCACCGCACGTCACTGGTACGCGCGATCCCCACAAACTAAGTAAACTCTCTGTGGGAGGGGAATTCTGGCTAAGTTTACTCTCACTATGGTATTACAGTCGCTGTGTCCCACATCTGGAGAGGTGTGAGATCCTACTTCATTCTGGAAACAGATGGACACATTCTTCCATTCATGCACCACAATTGGGGGAATGATTTAGCTAGGCTAACTAAGAGCTGCTAACGTCAGCGGTCTCTTGTTGCCATAGCAACAGTAAACGTTTACATGGACCAACGAGCTGTAAGTAGAGATGCAGAATCAAGCTGTATTGTAAATACAGATGAGATACTTTGAATTTGAGCACAAAATACAAGTAAACCTATAGGAAATAATTAGTTTAATTTTCAATATTTGCCATTGAATTTATTGTAATCTTTCAATTCATTTATTGTTTACTGAGGTGATAACTATTTCATAATTTGTGTGTAACTTTAATTTCTGTGTAAATGTGTTACTTTTACTGTAGTTTTCAACTGGCTGTGTATAGTGCTGTCTTGAGCATTTTCAGGTATTGTCACAAAGATCTGACTTGTTTGCATTGGAAAACACTAGTAA